CACTCACCCTTCCACTCTTCGGCCTACACCACGCACCATGCACCACTCGCGAGCTCTCTGCCAGTCGGGAGGCACAACTAGGTCGAATCCACAGTCGAGGTGCCTGCTCCGCGAACGTCGTCGATGACAGGGGTTCAGAAGGGATTCCCCCCTCCCCCAAAAGCCCTCGTCCAGGCCCCATTCACGAGCCAACGGGCACCCTGTCTTGTTCGGTCATTGCTGGCCCACCAGCCTGATGCGCCGCACCCTTTCGCTGGCTTGCGCCGACGGCTGCTGAACCAGGGCGCATCCACCACACTGCAGCAGCAGCCCACAGGAGCCCACCCTGACAACCACCGGGTTCCCGCGTTTTCCTTACCTGCCTGCCTACCCACCTTGGCCTTTTTAGCTACTGAGGTTCCATGCAATGCATCACCGCATCACCCCCAATTCCAGGCCCCTCTACTCTGCTCTGCCTTCGATCAGGTGAAAGGGAAGGTGAAGATTGGAAGGTTTAAACCGGCAGGAAAGACCGAAAAAAGCACAATCTGTTAGACTGTTCATCATTCGTCCCGCGGGAGAGAAGAAAACGAGACAAAGAGAGAGCCTTCAAATTCGAGAAGACCACCTGGACGAGGAAGAATTCGCTTCAGCAATACTTTCCGACATCCCAGGCGTCGCATCCAGCCAGTCTTCCAAACGTCGGCAGCATGAGACCGACAGGCCTACCCCGAGTCAAGTCGAAGTCCCCCACATCCCAGCGTTCAACGTACGTCCAGCAGCATACAGGCACTTGCACCCACCGAGTCAGCAGTGCCACCGGCCACTGAAGTGCCTTGGCCTAGGTTTCTTCCGGCACGGGAGCCACTGAGAACCACTCAGAGGTGACCAAAACCAAGCAGACGTGGGGAAAGTCCTTTTTGTGTGAATCCCGCCAGCCTACTCGGAACCTTCCCCCCCCCAGGGTCGAAGACTGGCTTTCTCGCTCAACTCTACACTGCCTCTCCCGTCCTTTTTTCTCCCTCCTCACCATCCTACTAGCACACACTGGAATCATGGTTGCGAGGTCCTCGATGTCAATCGCAAAATCGAGCGCTTTCGCTTCAATGAATCCCACCACAACAGAGCACGACTACCGGTTTCCCAGGAGGCCCCATCAGCCTACCGCTCACATGCCTGCCACCGCCGACAACGGCCAAGGCCTACACACCCATGCTCATGGTGGTCGAGGGGGCCACGGGCACGCCCACGCCCATGCCCACCCCAACACACAAGGCCGCACCACCACCGCCCATGCAGAAGGCGCAGGCTCATCGTCGTCCGCTTTCACGTCGCATTTGGGTGACCTTGATCTCGATCTCGACCTCGACCTCAACCTTGACACCGTATCCGGCGCGCGACCCCAACAGACTTCGCACACCCAACTTCTTCAATCCTCTGCCTTTCCTCCTTTCGAGGACGCCGTCATGGGGGCTTCCGGCGACACGCCCGAGTTGCTCCAGCAGGAGGATCCTCTTGCGACGCAGGTGTGGAAGTTTTTCAGCAAGACGAAGCAGAGCTTACCAAACCAAGAACGAATGGAGAATCTGACCTGGCGAATGATGGCTATGAACATGAAGAAGAAGCGGCAGGAGGAGGAAGCATCCAGGTATGTCGACATGCTGCGTCGAAGTCGCGCTGTTGTGCGCATTCGACAGGCACCCTGTCGTGCTGATTCGGAAAAAATGCTAACCACCTCTTCTTCCTCAGGGTTGTGCGCCAGTCTGCGACGGCGAACAACGCAGTTTCAAGCCACGGCAACGCACCGAGTGGAATTGCCCAATTGCGGAAAACATCTGAGCAGAACTTGAACAACCCTGAGCCGATGAACCTCGATGACTTCATCTTCTCCGAGAATATGGCAACGCCGGTCGATTTCTCATCCCCACAACTCCAGCCACCTCCCCCGCCGCCGCCTCGACACTCTCATGAGTCTAGGTCTGCCGCACCAGGTCAACCGCATTCTTTGCTCACCTCGGCCATCAATATCAAATCGCGCAAGGACGCCGCTGCGCACCAGCAGTTTGTCCCCCAATCTGTGCCCTTCCCTCCCCATCACCAGAGGGCCCAGGATGAGTTCAATTATGTCCCTCGGCATACACGTAAAACAAGTATCGATGACCGACGCGTGAGTGTTCGACCTCTTTCTTTGTTACGATGTGTCAGGTTCGGAAATGTGGTGGAATACCGGAGCTGGCTCGGGCAACTTGCTGTTCCAGCTTCTTCCTGACCTCCGTTTCCGTCGCCTTGTATTCGTTGTACGCAGAAAGCGAGCTGACAATGTTCGTAGACACGGAAGCGCCCCGCAAACTTCTCTCCTCAGGTGCCTGCCGTCAACAGCAACGTCGACGGCCTTACCACTAATATTCGCGCCGATTCTGAGCTTCATGAATATTCTCTGGACACCGCAGGACAACCTGGAATGACGCAGGGCCCTAACCAACAGGGCAATCCTTTCCACCTCGATGGCCTATCCATGGATACCGATAACATCATCACGTCTGCTGGCCCTTTCCAGCAAAACTTTAGCTTCTCACCATCCACCTCTCCCATGGTCTCGCACAACCACTTCTCCAACATGTATGGTGGCTCATCTATGCCCTCTTCATCCCTCAACGCGGCGGACTTTTACTCGCCCCCGGGCTCCGCTTATCCGTCTGCCGTTTCCACTCCACATCCCATCCCCGACAATGATAGCTTTTACTTTGGATCCTTGGATATGCGAAGCCAAGGCCAGCAGTCCTTCCGATCTGGGGGGCCCCAAGGTGTGAGCAACCAAATGGGCTCACAATTCATGTACAACGGCGCACCCAACAACAGCTCCATGTTCCCCGCCTCTACCGCCGGGCCTGATCCCCCGAGCGCCTTTAGCACCAATGGTCCCAACTCCTTTGCGCACATCGACCCCACACAGGTCTTCCAAGGAGATCAATCTGGCCGATCTCCCGGAGTGTCTATCCCGAACGAGAACATGTTCTCGTTCGGTGCGGATTCTGATGACGAGGATGGCGGTGCATTTGCCGACAGAAACCTGTCGATGCCCAGTGACTTTTCACCTTCGGCAATGGATGACACCCACTCGCTCGGCTGGGATCCATCCCTGCCTGGCCAGTACAGCACTCAGGCTGCTCGATACCCCGGCGGACCGCCCCGCAAGCAAGTCACGATTGGTGGCACCACCACTGACTACGTCGACAACACAAGCGGTGATTGGGACGGCGGTAACATTTCACGGTCTCATTCACAGTCTTTTAAACAGGGGGGACTAGACAGGCGCGGCGGAAAGGTCCCGCGCATTGCCTCGACCCCCGCCACTCATCTCGCTCGCAACGGTAATCCTTTCGATCGCATGGCACAATCAACCCCCAATTCTCCTCCTGAGGCTCCTGGCACGAGGTCTGGCTTCTCGTCTGTTGCCCCAAGCCGACCTTCATCACCCCTTGGTTCAAAGCAAGGATCCTCCACCAACCTGCAGGGAGCTGGAAGCAACGGGGACAGCAGCGCGCCGACCACATGTACCAATTGTTTCACTCAAACGACCCCTCTATGGCGTCGCAACCCTGAAGGACAGCCACTTTGTAACGCCTGCGGACTTTTCTTGAAACTTCACGGCGTTGTACGACCACTCAGCTTGAAGACGGATGTCATCAAGAAAAGAAACCGTGGGTCTGGTGCCAGCCTCCCCGTGGTGGCACCAGCACGCGATCCAAAAAGAGCACGGCTTCCGGCCCCGTCTCGCGAAAGAACTCGACTTTGGCTATATCTTCTATCCCAGGGAATTCGCAGGTTACGACCCCACCTGCCGTGGTTCGCGCGGGAAGCGTGAATAACGAGGGTGAAAGCCCGGCGAGCGGGCCTGCTTCTGGTGGCAACACGGCCGGTAGCACACCTACTACTTTTAGTGCTGGTTCCTCCGTGGGTGCTGTTGGCGGGAAGGGCGTCATTCCTATCGCCGCAGCACCCCCCAAGAACACTCCGGGTCCCGGTGCGGCGTCGATGCCTCGCAACGGTGCTTCATCATCCGGTTCCTCCAAACGCCAACGTCGCCACAGCAAGAGCACGGGCAGCGAGGGACTTGCCAGCATGGACGTCGACAGCCCAGAGAATTCAACTGGTTCTCCCAACGAAGCTGCACGGTCAGTTCCATCGGCTAGTCCTCTGAACACGATGTCCGCAGCTGGCTCGCTGGGTATGGCCAGTAGTTTCGGCATGACGCAACGACCGCTAATGGGTCACGGTGGCATGTTAGGCATGTCAGGCGCGAGTGGCCAAGGCCCCATGATGAACCCTGGAGGCCCCGCATCAGGACCTCAAGAGTGGGAATGGCTGACGATGAGTCTCTGAGCGGTTTACGTGCCTTGTGGACTCGCTCTCGCCTTTGTTCTTGTGACGAGGAAGAGTTTGGTGTGTTTTAACGCGACAACGATGAGGATTTGTATTTCTGCTTAACATGATGATATGGGACGGGAGCCGGGCTCCAAACCACTGGGAATAAGACATACAGAGTAGGTAATGCAGTTGGCGGGTTTCTTCTGTCACACTCTCCGCCGACGCGGTCCTTAGCGGTGGGTGGAAGACGTGTGCGAGGCAGCTGGCATTCGGACCCCCCTGGTGTTTCTGAGAGCTTGTCACAGTGGTCACCGGACGACGCAGGTTTTGCTTTTGAGCGTGCGGCTGGCATGTTTCCCCCTGGGATTTTGGCGTTGTAACAGCCCTCTGCGGGCGTGATAGAGATGCGATTGGACGTTCTACATACATCGAGATACCTTTTCCCATCAACATGAAGCTCATATGAAAAACTTCTGGAATCCGATTGATTGTGGCTCTGCTGTTGATTTGGTGGTCTTGCCGGCTGCGCCCTCTTCGGCGTCGATGCCAGTTCACCAAACTTTTGATCGGATGTCAAACATCGTTCGTTATAGCTGATCCTAAGCTAGGAATGAGCCCAAGTCTTTTGGGCCATACATAATGACCACCCCGAGCAGAGCAGTTCACTAAAGCGTTGCCTCGAGCTGCGCGCGCTTTAGGGAGGTATTGCTTGTGTGTCATCACACAATATTACAGTCAACGCCGAGCACTGCAACATGGATACTGGACACATCTCAAGCGAACAGGGTTGGGAAAAGATCATTTCATCCCTATCTCCCAAAAAAGCGGCCCGAAAGCCGACAACCCAACGCCGAACCCTTCTGAGGCTGGACGGAGGAGCTGCCTGTGAGAGGTCCGAAAGCCCGTGGTGGATGCCACGAGACCCAAACGCTCCCAGCGCGGCGGCGACGTTATGTGTGACCTCGCTTTTGATCCGCACCTTGGCTCCCCCGTTCTACGGAGCGTTGAAAAAAGAATCATCCCCTGCGACCGTTGATTTCCGTTCCGAAGTCACACTCTCTACCTGCTTCGTGCGTTGAATCGTTTTCCAACAAGCCCCCGCCCTCTTTTCCCGTCGTCGATGCGCGAAACCCTCTTGTCTTCATGACATTACCAAGACGTTCCTCGAGCCGTGATCGATGCGTTGGTGGGAGGCTGTTTAAGCGGCACCGGGGTTGGGGTTCATCTACACATTGGAGCGTTAGCCAGAAACAAGAACCGCAGGCGTCGTGCCGTGTTCTCGGAGGAGTTGCCGAAATCATCTGCGTTGGGTTCATCTGGGCGTACCTTGCGCTTGCCACCAGTGAGCTGGACGTTCACGAAACGGCGAGTGTACGTGAGTCTCTTCTTCGCGCGGCCCTTGGGGACCTTCTTCTTCTCCTGCTTCTCGACCTTGGGGCTAGACAAGGAAGAAGAAACCATGTTAGTCCGGCTGTTCTGCATTGCGTGTTACATCTGATGCATCCGTCTCCGTGTCGCTCGTGTTGACATAGTCGATACGGAGTGGGTGTGGGTGATCGAAGCATTGTGCTCATCGAGGAAAGACGTACGTCTGAGACTTGACCTTGCCGGCACGGGCGAGGGATCCGTGAACCTGTTCGCGAATCGGTCAGCGATGGTGTCGCTTGTCATGGTGGTTTCGGCCGTCGACGATGGCACAAAAGCACATCATGGCATCGTCTGGTATCATCGGGCTGAACGTACCTTGCCCATATTTGCGGTTTGTTAGTTTTGCTGTCGACTGAGCGTAACTGGGCGATGGGGGGGTGATGTCGAGAGTTAGGTGGATGGATAGACGTCCTTTCCGCAATCTTGGGAGGCACCTCCGATTTTTCGCCTGGGTTGCGCCTTTGCTTTGTGTGGGCGGCAACCCCGGTCACGTGTATGAATATAGGCGAGTGGAGTCCCGTTTTCGCCGCTCACATACTTCGGTGTGAGTCAGGCTGGATGACTAATACCACTCCACTTGTTCAGTGATGAGCCGTTGATATTCAAGGCGTGTTGGATTGATGGCCGAGCCTAGGGCTTCTTCACTACTACAAGGGTATGCAATTGAAAGACATGGTCGTCCTCAGTTTCGTGGTTGTGCATAGGGGACCACCCTCCACTTTCGAGCTCACGCGGCGCAGTCAGTACCAGCATTCATCAACTAACAACGTTTGCTATTTTTCATCTCGCTCTGTTCCTAATCATTACAACAAAGTGGGTTGTAGCATTTTGAATGCCCCATTCATTGGCATTCTATGGCAGCAGGCGCTTAGGTGTGCGCGGGTAGTAGCTGGCCAGGTGCACCGAAGGCAGGTTGAGGAACCACGCAACGACACGGTCGAGACCAATACCACCTCCACCGTGCGGCGGGACACCAACGCTGCGGAAGACATCGACGTACTCCTTAATGCCCTGCGACTCGGGGTCGACACCCTTCGTTCTCAACCTGGCCTCCAGGACGCTGGGGATGTGAATACGCTGGCCACCACTGAGGATCTCCTGGCCACGCATGAAGAAGTCGTAGGCGTTGGTGACGGCGGGGTTGGCGGGGTCCTCGAGAGCGTAGAAGGGGCGCGCCGATTCGGGGAACTTGTCGAGGACAAAGAAGTCGGTGTTGTACTTCTTGCGGATGAGGGCGCCAAGGGCCTTCTCCTGCGGCGTCGACATGTCCTCATTGTCAGAGACGTTGCGGTATTCCTCGGGGCCCTCCTCGCGCAGGAGCTTTTGGCCCTCGGCGAAGGTGAGACGGAGGACGCCCTCACCGGGAGCGGGCAGAAGGAAGTCCTCCGAGGGATACACGGCACGGATGATCTCAATCTGCTCGGCGCAGCGCTCCTTGATGCCGCGGAAGATGTGCAAGAGAACCTTCTCGAGCATTTCCATGACTTCGTGGTAGTCCTCCTCGATCTCCATCTCCAGATCAAGGCCAGTGAACTCAGTCATGTGGCGGGGGGTATTGGAGTTCTAGAGACATCAGTATGGTCTTGGATAACGAATAGGCGTACAGCTTACCTCCGCGCGGAAGACCGGTCCGATGCAGTAAACTCGCTTGCGACCACCAGCAATCTCAATTTGCTTGTAGAATTGGGGTGACTGGGCCAGATAGGCCGTCTTTTCAAAGTAGGGCATAGAGAAGACGTTGGCACCGCCCTCGGAAGCGGCTCCGATAAGGCAGGGAGGCTCGAACTGCACAAAGTTTTGGGTGTCAAGGTACTCGGCAAACACGCTTGCGCGTGCCATGCGCACATCGGCGATGGCCTGCTGAACGGGGGCGCGCTTGTGCATGGCAGGGTTGCTCAGGTGCGTCCCATGCTGGCACTTGGCGTGGCGTCGAGGCTGACGTTCTCTATACCTTGCTTGACAGCCTCAACCGATTTCTCTGCCTCGGCCTTAGCAGCCGTCACTGAGGGGTCTTCGTCCTCGAAGCTGGAGACGGCACGGTTCGCAACGGGAAGGCTCATGCCGAGAGCCTCGGGGCCAGGCGCGAGGATGTAGCACTTGGTGATGTGGAGCTCAAAGTTGCTAACCTTGCAGCTCTTGACCGGGTCAAGAGGCTTCTGGATGACAGCCTCGACCAGGATGAAAGACTCGAGAGCGAGACCGCCCATCCACTTGACCATCTGTCGCGAAACGGGCTTGCCCTCGGGGCTGGCGGCCAGAACACCCTGGACGGCCCAGTTGCGCTCCTCGCGCAGCTCGATGAAGCACATCTTGGCGCCCTGCATGCGCGAGTTCTGGATCCAGCCGCGCACCTTGACGCTCTTTCCAATGTGTTCCTCAGTGATGTCCTTCAGGTGCACGCGCTCCGCATCGACCTTGGTCGTCGCCGTCACGTCGCCGTAGTTCTCCTTGGCCAGGTCCTCACCACTGGCACCGCCGCCGGCGGCCTTCTGCGCGGCCTCAGCGGCCTCACGCTCGGCAGCACGGCGGGCCTTCTCGGCCTCCTTCTTCGCCTTGGCCTCAGCCTTCTTGGCACCCTTCTTCGACTGCTTCTCGCCGCCCTCCTCGCCGGCAGGGGCGGGGGGGTCGTTGGCCGGAGGGGCCTGCGCGGGCTCGGCGGCGGGTGCGTCAGCCATGGTTGTGAAATTAGAGCTCGGACACTCGTGTTCTTTTGTTTTTTATGGATGGGGAATGTCGGATTGAGTCTACTGTGACGGATTGGTGCTGTTTTATGATGAATGGGTTGACGACAACTCGACTTTCTTCGGCGATGATTCAAAATTCCATGGCGGGGTGATTCACGTCAACGACCCCGCGGGCAGTGGTGGGTCGCAGAGCCACCAGCCCTATCGTTATCTGTGCTGTTATCTGATAAGAGCTTGAGTTAAACCTCGCCATCAGCTTGCACTTCACCCTCACTGCAATCTGAAGCTAGGTACGAAGGCAGGTGGGGAGGTGTAAGGTTATCAAATCTAGGACAACGTGTAAATATTAGGCCACACGTATTTCACCTAGGAGGTGTAGTTTTGAAGAATTGTATTAAATCCGCACGTTATTACTGGCAGCACAAACATGCCCTCAAGACGCCGGCTCCCCCCCAAACAAGCGATCATCATTCAGGTGCCCCAAACGCCAAACGATACCAACCGCAGCATGCAAATGACATCACAGCCAAGTGGTACAGATCGCACAAAGTCGCGCATCTCCCAGATGCGGAAGCCTGCCGATAACCGAATCTTGGATTCCCATCTCTCCTCCATCTCCTGCATATCCCTCCTTTCGGTTAGTAGGAGCGAGGCTGTAGCATCTCTGCATTCTCGCAAGTAAAGAGATTGATATGATGATCGCCTCTAGCAGCAGTTCCCAGAATGGGTCTGTGAGGATGGAACGCTGTAGCAGAGATGGGAAGGCCTCGATTCTGTTGAAGGAAGCTGGAGTACGGCTCCATCTCAGATAGCTCCTGACCATCAAAGTTGAAGACCTGAACTCGTCGGGCCGATGTGCCGCTGTGACTCAACGTCAGTAGGGAATCAGAAGAAATCGTGAACTTCAAGACTTACACAGCAAACACGGGCAAATGCTCATGGGTACTGGCCGTGCGCACAGTATCTCGTGGGTCCTTCGTCGTTTGGAACGTGTGAAGGGGCTTGTCCATGCGTATGTCCCATAGCTTTACCTTGCCGTTGCGGCTAGCGCTGATGAGCTCTCTCTGACCTCCACGTTGCATGTGGACACTCTTGATCCATTGCCTGTCCGTGTCGTCCTTCCACTTCTTCACCATCGACTCTTGGACCTTGAGACGGGTATCAAATACGCGTACCGCGCCATCACCAAAACCGGCCACAAGTGTGGTGCCCGTCATTTGATCAGATGTCAGGGAGGTGACACACGAGGTG